AGAGAGAGAAAGAGAGACAGAGAGAGAGAGAGAGAGAGAGAGAGAGAGAGAGAGAGAGAGAGAGAGAGAGAGAGAGCACAAAACATGGCAACGACGCTGACACTCAGTGTCACACTTGATTGTCCACAATCCTTTCCGAATGCGAATGAGAACTTTTTTTTTTTTTTTTCTTTTTTCTTTTTGGAAAGTGTGTCGATGTATATTGCAAAATCTTTGAACAGGGGCCGGGGACCTCACAATTCAACCCGGATGTAAACTCAGAACCAGCTGGAAATCGGGTCCAACGTCCCATTCTTGCCTCGAAGAAAAGAACTGCAAATAGTTGAACACAAAATAATATAATGGTTTTTTAATTTTTTTTTTTTTTTTTTTTTTTTTTTTTTTTTCCCAGGTGCACAAGTCTTATTCTTCCTTGAAAGTGTGTATGTTAAGATAATACGTGCAAAAGTCTTATTCTTCGTCTTGCGATTTGGTTGAATATTGGGTGCCACTAATATCTTAGAACAAGAAGTGTTTACAAACTTATTTATAATTGTAATCTTATGAGTAATGCTTTTACTGTTTCTTATGCTTCACATACCTCCGAAATGCACTTAGGCTTCTACTTATTGTGCTAGAGTTGAACGACATTGTCACCTCCAGCCCTCACATCCATCGTTAAAGAAAGTACGTGTTTCATTTATATTATGGAACCGACTCAGTAGTATTTCTTTACAGATCAAAAGTTGAACGATATGAAAATATTATTTTTTTTTTGAACGTGCATGCAAATGTTGCTCGAACGTTACTTCATGCTTGGCAACAATCATCCCAACGTTCCAGTATAACATGAAAACATTAAAACGTAAATGGAATATATAGTTGATAAACGACATTTCCAACATTAGAGGAATGTTGGTCAAGCTGTTCAACGAATGTTTCTCTCATATAGTTAACGTTTATTATATTGAGTCAACGTTCAACTAATGTGTGTTTATCGGTGAAGGTTTCTTAATGCAAAGAAAGTTAGAATATGGTGCATGCTTCATATGGACAATTCATTATAAGTTGAAAAAGTTAGTTATTATAAATTTGGAAATTTTGTTTTTTTTTTGTTGCTAAGGCGACATTCCCGTGGTTGGCGAGACGGCGTGGTTGTAGGCTATCTCCGCATGGGCAAGATGAAGATTCCACTGCTGGTCGTCACGAACGATCTTTCGGAGAATATCTCTGAGAGTCCTGTTCGTGATCTCGGTCTGACCATCAGTCTGAGAATGGTAAGACGAGGAGAAGCGGACCTGAGTGCTGTATACCTTGTGGAGCCGTCGCCAGAATCGGTTGGTAAAGCTCGGGTCACAGTCAGCGATGATGCTCAGACATAGGTCGTGGTCTTGCACGACTCGATCAAACACGATGTCGGCGACCTCACGTGCACTGATGGCATAGCGGCACGGAACAAAGCGTGCACCCTTCGTGAAGCGGTCGACGATGACCAGGATAACATCATGACCGCGGGGGGTCGGAGGACGAAGAGGACCGATAAAGTCCGTCGAGATGGACTGCCAACGACCCTTAGGGATAGGACGAGGCTGGAGCAAACCATAAGGCAAGTGGTTCGCACTCTTCACCTCCTGACAGGTGGGACATTCTGCGACGTAGTCCTTCACAAAGTCCTTGCGCTTCGGCCAGACGTACAGGCGGCTTACACGAGCCAACGTCTTGTGGAAACCCATATGACCGGCAGTTGCCTGGTCAAGGAACTCTGCTACTGCCCGGACACGTAACTGCTTAGTGGAGGGAACGCATATACGGGGCTCTCTGGTGCCCTGTGAACTCTGCCAGTACACAAGACCGTTATCCCCGAGAGAGTAGTTCGGGACGGTCTTGCCACTCCGAAGGGTCGCGTGGATGTCGCGATAGTCGGAGCAGTAGCGATACTGAGTACGAAATTCGTCGATCACCGAGTGATGGATAGTGGTGACCGAGATGAAAGAGAGTTGGATCTGCTCCTGGTCGTGGTCAGGGCGCCGGGATAAGGCATCTTCGACCCGATTAGTCTCACCCTTGATGTGCTCAGTGGTGGAACTAAACTCGGATAGGTCGCGCCACCAGCGAGCATGTCGAGGAGTGAGCTTCGGTTTTGTCAGAAAATCCTGGACAATAGAATTGTCTGTGCGCACCATGAATGGTGCCCCGTGCAGGTAGTGACGCCAGTGTCGAGCAACATAAACTACTGCGAGAACCTCACGTTCATCAGCAGTGTAGTTTATCTCGGCGGGGAGAAGCTGACGGGAGTAGAAGGCTATCGGACAATCACCTGAGCGAGACTCGACAGTGTCGTCCTTGACGATGGTAGGAGAATAGGCAATAGAAGGCTCGTCAGTAGCTGGACGAGTAGGCGTGAGTCAGGAAGCAGTGGTAGAGGTTGGTGGTGGGAAGCGAGGAATACGAGGATGAGAGGAATCAGGAGAGGAAGGGAAGATCTGAGAAAGCATTGCTCCTATAACAAAGTCTGACGCATCGGTGGTAAGGATAAAAGGGCGATCAAAATCGGGTAAGTGAAGAACCGGTGCGCAGGTCACCGCCTTTTTTTAGGGCGCGGAAGGCGTCCTCGTGGAGGGGTCCCCAAGCCCAGGGTGGGTTCTTCTGGAGGAGGGTGGAGGTAAGGACGTAGGAATACCTAGCATATTACTATATTAGCTGGTAAGGCCTAAGACGCTGCGAAGCTGCTTGGCGGATGTGGGGACGGGCCACTTCGCAATAACAGTGATCTTCGCGTCGTCCATGTGGAGACCCTGGTCCGACATGTAGTGTCTTAAGAAATTTACTTTATGTTGGGCAAAGCGGCACTTGGTCAGCTTGGCGTAGAAGTCATGTCTGCGCAAGCGGTCAAGGACGTTGCAGAGGTGTCTGAGGTGCTCCTTAAGGGTACGACTGTAGACCAGGATATCGTCGAGTTAGACGAGAATGTACTGCTCCATGATGTCCTTGAAAATATCGTTCATCGCCCTCTGGAAGGTAGCGGGTGCGTTGGTGAGGCCGAATGGCATCACCGTGAACTCGTAATGGCCGAAGCGCGATCGAAACGTTGTCTTCGGCTGCTCGGCTACAGCGACGCGGATATGATGGTAACCGCTACGAAGATCAATCTTCGTAAAGAAACGGTTGTCTGCTAGGAAGTCGAACAGCTCGTCGGAACGAGGCAAGGGGTAGCTGTTCTTAACCGTGTAGCGGTTGAGGCCGCGATAGCCGATGCAGAGACGGAGAGTTCCATCCGCTTTGCGAGCAAAGAGGACGGCTGCACCCCACGAGGAGTAGCTGGGTTTAATGAAACCCAGTCTCAGGAGTTCCTCAAGCTGACGCTTGAGTTCGGTGGCCTCGGGGATCGAGAGTCTGTAGGGTGCCTGATGGTGAACACGATAGTCAGGCACAAGCTGGATGGAGTGCTCGACGTCGCGCATCAGTGGGATGCCGACATACGAGAACTACGATGGGAAAACATCGTGGTACTCTCGAATGAGGTCACGAACTGCGGGGTCCAGGTCAGCCGTATATCGTGCGAGTTCCTCAGCGTCAGCGTTAGCGCGCGACGACGGGGTGGACTCGACGGACGGCGGAGGGGCGAAAGTAGAGATGAGAGCCATGGAGATAGAAGGAGGATCAGGCTCCAGAGGGATGAGCTCGGCGTCGGGACAGGGTGGATCATAGTGTAAGAAATCCGTTACATTGACCATAAAGAAGGTGACGTCGTCCTGTCGGACGAAGTGGGTGAACTGCCGAGGCGAGGTGACAGTGATAGAAGGAGATGGTGTGGGCACGGAAGGCTCCGGGGGAGGAGGATCGGGGCGTGGTGTAGCAGTGGTATCTATGAAAGGTACGCGATACGTCTGTCCACACTTCGTTTTGAGGACGAGAGTGTTGATCGCCCAATCGACCTCAGTGCTGTGGAACTGACGAGACCACGGAGTGACGATAATGAAATCGTACCCCGTCTCCATCACATCGAAATGTGCAGAGGAGTGGTGGCGACGAGACGCCGGGGGACAATCAGTCGGCTCGAGAGTGAGGAAGAAAGGGAGGTCGGTGACCGTCTGATCGAAGAAGCGTTGGGTCTTGKCATCCCCTAGGGTGACAGAGATGGGAGTCGGAGACCCTGTCGTGGGTAAGCGGGCTTCTTTCACCACACGGGTGAATGAAGTCGCCCTAAGAGCCGGAATCCCACAACGCTGAGTACACCCTCTTGGAGGTCCCCAGTCGTACTGGAATGATCGGGAGGGTGCGATCAGGGTCAGAGAGGATGGTGAGAAGGCGATGCAGTGCAGCGACATGGAGGGTGAGTCGCTCCTGACGAGCCTGGAGCATGTTCAAGTCCAGAAGAGAGGACACAATGTCCTCGCGAGTAGTGAGCTACTCGTTGCAACGGGCTGAGCGAATGGCTCGACACGACAGTAGTCGCGGAGGAGTAGAAGGGGAGACGGTGGTCTGCGGAGGCGCAGACGGTACGGCGACAAAGGGCTGAGTACACTCTGTCGGGTCTTGCGATACCTCAACTCCAGTAGGCTGAGGGGCAAACCGCGACGGGGATGTGGGGAAGCCGGCTACTGGGGAGGGCGAAGGTGTACATTGCACCGTGGCTAGGAGGCGCCGTGGGGATGAGAGGCGTCGCGGGGGGACTGAGCACGACGCTGGTGGGAAAGGTCAGTGTAGTGGTGGTCGAGGGCGGTGGTATAAGGGCACTGCGAGGAGGTATGATTGTCCAGGCGGCATCGCAAACACCCACGCCGTCCCAAAATAGCCGCGCGCTCCTCAGCGGAAAGGACACTGCGAGGAGGGACAAAACCCTGAGGGAGATCCTGTTGAGGGACCTTGGGGGGCGATGCGCCAGCGTGACCGGGGCGGCTGCGTGCCCGGGAGAGGGCGAAGAGGATGAGTTGGAGGCGCTTGGCCATAGGGAGAGTAGAGTCCTCCACGTGATGGTGGACGGCCTCGCCGAGGTCGAGGTCGTCGTTATGGTCACCTCTGGCGACAGCAGGGCACCCGCGTTCTTCTCACCATACGCGAGCGCGCTGAAGCGGCGCGAGAAGTGGTGGCCCTGCTGCGCGGAACGGCCGGGTTGACCGCGGAAAGGGGAACGATGCTGCGAAGTGTCGTGAGAGGAGGAAGAGGCGTAGCCCGTGCGCTGAGGCTGGGAGGAGGAGGCAGGGTGAAGACGGGCCCGCATCCGCTGATGGTCCCTGGCGGCCTCGTAAGCCCGCTGGGCCGATGTGAACTCGTACTGCCATAACTCGGAGCGATACTTGAGCATAAGGCTGGCCAAAAAACGATCGATAAGGGCAGCCTCGGGGAGAAACGCCACGTCACAAATGAGGAGGGCGTCCTGGAAGACCTGGATGTGGCGATCCAGGCCGGCCGCGCCACCAGAGCCGGACCAGCGTGTAGTGACGACACGCTCGAAGGCGTCAGTCACGTCATGTCGAGCTCCGAAGCGATCCTCGAGGAACTCCTAGAAATCCATGAAGGTCAGAGTCCGACCCGCATGAAGGGAGTAAGCGTAAAAATCCTCCCAGACGTCAAAAGGACTGCCACGCGGGCGCGTGGAGAGGTGACCCACCCACGAGTCAGGTGGGGCGCCCATGAGCTGGAGGGTGCGGGTGGCAGACTGTAGCCACCGAGACACGCGTATGCCTGTACCATCATACAAGACAATTTTCGTCAAGCGTACGAGTGGTGCGCCACCATTTTGGCGGCGAGGGGATCGAGGAGCAGAGGCTTGTGCCACGACTGAGTAAGTCGGCGCAGGTCCTGGAAAAAGGGGCGCAGCTGACTGTGCGCCCGGGCCACATGGGGGAGTGGTGGGGGCGACGACGGCAGGCTACGAGGGAGCTGCGGTAGAAGAGGTGGCAACAACTGCAGTAATATGAAAAAGGTAGGATGGGGTTGGATAGGGTGCAGGGCGAGGAAAGTGAGCCTGCATGGAAGGAAGAGTAGAGGAAGGAGGGGGTGCGCCCGAAGGCACGGCCACCTGTGAGGGTGGGGGTGGCTGAAAGCGTAAGAGGGCGAGGTCGGCCCGGATGTGGGCAAGCTCGTCCTCGAGACGTTGGACGTAGACCGTGCGAGGATGCCAAGAGGATGAGTGGGGGAGGTGGACGCACGAGCGGCGCGGGGCATCCCAGAGGGGGAAGAGCCAGGTGGCGCTGCGGTCGTGCGAAGGGGATGGAGAAGCGGGGCACCCGGAAAAGCTGAGATCATGGTAGCGGGTTGTGGTCCCGTGGCCGTAGTGACCGGAATCTGGGCGGGTGCACCCGTAGACTAAGGGAGAATCTGACTCGTGGCGGCCGTCGAGTTAGGGGCGTGGACGGTCACCAAGATGGTCGGGTCGGGGGCAGCGGAGGAGGAAGCTTCACCGTGGCTACCCTGTCGGAGGACTGGGGACCCGGAATGAGAACCGGGAGAAGAGAGAGAGAGTCAGGAGATGAGGGACAGACAGCGTCCTGGAGTTGCTGCACGCCGGCGGTAAGGGTCGCCACCTGCACCTGTAAGGGCGTGAGGATCGCGAGTTGTGCCTGAATGGGCGCGAGGAGGAAGGTGAGGAGGGTGTGCAGATCCCCCTGAGGTTGCTGGCCCTGGACCGCCGACACGGGTGTGGAGCCCGATGTAGTGGTCGTCGCCGCGTCGGCGGCGTGTGACACACCGTCGGCCATGGGGAGGTGACAGACCGAACTAGAGGAGGTCTGCGCGAGCGGAGGGCGTAGGGGGGGGTCCGCGGTAGAAAGCGGCGGACGGCGCTAGCAAGGCTGACGCGGACGCCGTCAAAGGGGGAGGGGTGGTTCGGGTCCAGGGTGCCCAAATAGGAAGGGGAAGTAGGGGGGGTTTGAAGAACCCTAAACCCAAGAAAAACCCTAAGAAAACCCTAACCGGAGTTTGAGTGGTTAGGGTAGGGTACCGGTGACCTAATCAAGAAAATAAAATAGCAAGCATAGGGGGAGGGGAAGGCGGGAGAAAATAAATAAACAGCGAGATTTCGAGAGAAAATAAAAATAAATAAAAAAATAAATAAATAATAATAATAATAAAAAAAAGGAAATAAAATATGAAGAGATAAATAATATTTATTTTTTTAGAATTTTCGACAACATTTCCTACCCCCCATGGGGTCAAGAGTGTGTCAAGGGAAAGAAGAGACCAAGATAAGCAAACTAGGTTTCAAAGTGCCACAAATGAAAAATTTCAGAAAATAAATAAAGAAATAATAAATAAATAAACAAATAAATAAATAAACAAATAAATAAATAAATAAATAAGTTAATAAGTGGATGAGGAAGTGGGGAGAAATGAACTATATGATTTTTCAAAAATTTCGGCAGCATTTTGTTACCCCCATGGGGTCGAAGTGTGCCGAAAAAACTAAGTTAAAGAAAAAAATTAGAAAATTTCGGCAGCATTTCGTTAACCCCACGGGGTCAAAACGTGTGCCGAAGGCAAGAGAGACTAACACCTAATCAGATTTAAGGTTGTCGCAAAGAAAATCGAATTTTCAGAATAAGTAGAAAAATAAATGAAATAAATCAGAAAATGAGAAAAGAAGGTGCGAAGGAAGATAATTCGATTTTTTGGAAAAACGAGAAAAGATAAATCAAAAGAGAGGTGGAAAGAAGAAAAACAGAGAAATTTTCGAAGTAGGGGGGGGAAGGGAATGAAAAGTGAAGGAGGAAAGAGAGAAATAGGTGGAAGAGAAAAAAAGATGGAAGTGGGAGGTAGGGGGATGATGTGGTGGTAGTTGGGGGAGAGGAGGGTGCGAGAATGGGAGAGAAAGGGATGGGGAAAGGTGGAGAGGGATCAAGAAGCAAAGAGAAAAGAAGGAGGAAAGAAAATAAAATAAATAAAGAAAAGAGAGTAAAAGAGTGGGTGGTGGGAGAAAAGGTGGGGTGGGGAGAGGGGTATGAGTAAAAGGAGAGAGAGAAAGGGAGAGAAAGTGGGTTAGTAGGGAGAGGGGAGAAGTGATAACTGGCCCTTGGTGTCTCCAAGGGCACAAGGTATACCAAGACCAGGAGGGTCTTGGCCTTCGCTGCAGCAAGCCAGCTGGAGGAGAGAGGGGGCTGAGATCTTGATCAGTCCCTAGCAGCAGTTCTGCGGATCTGCAGATTTAGGGTCTGTTGTGTGAGCAGACCCTCACCACTGTAGAGCAGCCTTCAGTTCCACCACAAGCTGCCACGTGGCAGTAGAGATGGCCACGTGCACAGGCAACAGCAAGCGAGGGGTGGGGGCAAATAGCAGCCCGGGTGCTGTTGCCCTGCTCGCCGGAGGGGGGCGCGGGCACACAACTCTTCAACAGCAGTGTGCCACTGTATAGGACCATACTCACACTGTGGCGAGTGTGTTATGACAGCAGTATACGCACACGCAAGCCCAACAACTGCCTGGGTCCAGCAGCAACAGCATCCCGGATCTTGATAATATAATTCGGGAGCGAGGCGGGGCAAGGCAGCGGGGCAGCGTGGGCGTGTGGCGCGCGCACGTGCGTTGGCCTTGGTCTCGCCCTGC